GAGAGGGAAGGGTGTGTTAGAGAACTGGTTGAGGGTACAGAGGTGGGAGAAGACGAGGTCCAGGGTGTTCCCATTGATGTGGGTGGAGGATTGGGTGTGTTGTGTGAGCGCGAAGGAGGAGGTTAGGTGGAGGAGTTGGGAGGTAGCTGGGGTGTTGTCATTGATGGGGATGTTGAAGTCCCCGAGGATGATGGTCGGTAGCTCAGAGGAGAGGAAGAAGGGAAGCCAGGCGGCGAAGTCATCCAGGAAGCGGCTATGGATCCAGGGGGCCTGTAGATCACTGCGATCCTTAGGGGGTGGGTGAGAAGAGCCGGATGCAGTGAGCTTCGAAGGAGGAGAAGGTTAGGGAGGGGGGGTTAGGGAGGACCTGGAAGGTGCTCAGCGGTGATAAGAGCAGGCCGACACCACCACCTTTGTGACCGCTCAGTCTTGGTGAATGGGACCAGGTGAGACCTCCATGGAGAGAGTGCCGCAGGGGAGGTAGTGTCAGTGGCCTGTATCCAGGTTTTCGGTGATGGCTAGGAGGTTGAGGGAGCGGGAGATAAAGAGGTCATGGATGGCAGTTAGTTTGTTGCAAACCGAACGGGCGTTCAGAAGTGCAACCGAGAGAGGGGGATGGATGCGGGGAGGAGGCGCACAGGTATGAGGTTGAGGGGGGTTGCGGCGGCTGGCGGGGGCAGGGGGGTCCCTGGAGGGGGGGAGAGGTGGTGAGGGGCCAGGGTTCGGGGAGACGTCCCCCAGCGGATAGGAGAAGGAGAAGGGTGAGGAGGGTGGCATGGGAATGGGAGGTGTAGGAGCGTGTGGGTCTGGTAGTGGTGGCACGTGGGTCGACCGGGGAGTGGAGTACCAGGAGGAGGTGGTGAGTGCCGTATGTGGAGAGGGCAGAAGTGAAGGGGCAATGTAGAGCTGTTTTTGGGGGGGTGGGCGGGTAGAGGGAGGCGATTTTTGGGATGGAGGAGAGGAAGACGAGGAGGAGAAGTGCAGGTGGCATGCTGGGGTGAGTGCAGTGCTGTTCGGGTCGGGGGAGGTGAAGGGATACGGGTCAGGGCGAGGTGATGTGGAGAGTCTTTATCACCGTGAAGTCCATAGAGTCCTTCTGTAGCTGCAATCTGTGAGTGCAGTATGCTGGCGTCCGAGGGGTCTTCAGTGGGTCCAGTGGATCGGCGAGTGGAGGGTCGTAGGGTGCGATGTCTGGGGGTGTTGGTAGGCACAGCGTCTGGTGATGTTGGCGGCTCGGTGGCTGGAGATTCGCTGGTGGTCCGGGGAGATTCGCTGGGCGACGTCTTGATTCGCTGGGTGGTCCGGTGTTGGGTGTCCAGAGGTGATAGCTGGGTGCCCGGTAGCTGGGTGCTGGGTGTCCCAGGGGTGGTAGCTGGGTGCCCGGTAGCTGGGTGCTGGGTGGTCCAGGGTGGTAGCAGGGTGCCCGGTACTGGGTGACCAGGGGTGGTAGCTGGGTGCCCGGTAGCTGGGTGGTAGCTGGGTGCCCGGTAGCTGGGCGGTGGGTGTCCAGGGGCGGTAGCTGGGTGCCCGGTAGCTGGGTGCAGGGTGACCAGGGTGGGCCCAGAACCGACGTATGGGTTGGGCAGCGGAGCAGCGATCATTGGGCCTGAGCTGATTCCTGGTGGTCAGGGATGGACACAGGGCTAGTGGGGAGGGCCCTGCGAAGGCTGGCAGGTCTGTGGGGATCGGTGCTGGCAGCTTACCCCGTTCTGGTGGTGCTGCCATGCAGGTATCCGGGGGGTGGTCCTGGGCTGCTGTCAGCTTGGTGGTCCTTGCTTGCTGTTCCTGGCTGGTGGTCTAGGGTAGTCAATGAGGACCCAGGGCTGATGGGGAGGGCCCTGGGCAGGCAGACAGGTCGTGGTACCCGGTATTCAGAGCGAGACGGTCCGGGCGGGTGTCCGGCGATGCGGTCCGTCGGTCGCGGCAAAAATTGAGACTGCCCGGCTTCGGGTGCGCGGGTAGGGCCCGCGATTCCCGGAGCTCCGGGAAAAGGTCCAGGAGCTTACCCTGGTGGTCGGGCTGGGCCGGGAGTGTCTTAGGGGCCCCGCTGGGTCCGCTGCGGGCCAGATGGCAGCGGATTGGGGGCTAGGAGCGCAGGAGCTCCTATCGCATGTCTGCTCCCGCCGCCATCTTGGAGGAAAATGTTGGAAATGTTGGAAAATGATAGGGGCGAGATAATCGGTTTCCCCTTAAGTAGAACTCATAGGAGCTTCTATAGGTGAGTCTATATTATGCTTTACCATATCTCTGCCTACTAACAAACAATGGACCCCTTGTTCAGTTTATAAAGTATGTTCATCATTTACGGTCCCGTTTAGCAAATACAGAGTGTATTGGGGTTAAATATACAAACCAGTTACCCTGAAGACCACATTGAATCAGCTTGGTTCACCTGGGTTTAGCCAATTACATTTGGAGAAAGGTAAACTACAGTTTGCTTCTTTCTGACTTGCAGTTTATCTACTGCTAAGATCATTTAGCATATTTCAATCGAAAAGCAGAAACTTAATATACTGCAGCTTACCAATCCCTTAAAAGGGAAGTATGTGGACAAACTTTTTTTTTGATATACTCCTTTTGTTCTATTGCACACTAATCAGCAGAGGGGGCAGAGCCACTCTGAGTTCAGGAAGGTTCCCAACAATTTTGCCTGATTGACAGCCAACGCCACCTTCCAGAACCAGCTGTACTCACCCCCTCCCCAGGATGGTTGTCAGGAATGGACTGGCCAGCAATGGTGGGACTCACCTGCCTTATGACTGCAGTACCAGGGCTGGCCAGCGGGTGCTCCCAGCAATCAGAAACTCAACCTTGCAGTCCCAGTCAAACACCTGGAACTGATTATACTGGTGTATTTAAGGGATGGCCAGACCTGCAGACTCTGCCTTGGTGTGTGTTTCTCCTGGGCCCTGTATCCTTTCCTGCTCCCTGTTCCTGTCTGATTCGTTGCTGACCCTGCTCTGATCCCTGGCTTTGTCTGACCATTCTCCTGCTCCTGATCCCTGGCTTGTCTGACCATTCTCCTCTGCCTGACCCTCTGTACCACGCTCGCCCCGCTAACCTGCTGAACCTGGCTTGTGACCCGACCATTCTCCGCTTGCTCCCCCTGTACCTACCTGCCCGATTGATATTGACCCAGCCTGCCTGACGACGCTTGGTATTGTATGTACTGTCATCTGTGGGTTGTTGGTTTGGTTTGTTTGCACTGTGTTATGTTTTAGTATTGCACTGCGTTTATGTTTGGATTGTTAGTGTTAATAAATTATATTGTTTATAACATATCTGAAGCCTGCGTTTCCCTGCGTCAGTCACACACCTCTGGTCATACCCGGGAGCCCTGACATTACACCAAGGCCAATCCTGACCAGAAGTGGCTGCACAGGGAAGCCATCTTGGTTTGTTGATGGGTAAGGATGGATCTTGATGAGGTTGTGTATTTATATCTGCTAGTGTTTGATGACAGAGAGTATGCTTATCAAAACTCTGAAGGAGTATCCCCGGGATGAACTGCTAGAATGTAATACGGCTCCGCTCATGTTCTAGTAGATCAGGGCACAGAATTCTCTGAGGTGCAGCCATTGATTTAGATTTGTGCGGAGTTGGTTTCATCTGGTACCCCCCGAATGCAGGGATGAATTTTTGCCCGCCCATTTAGTGCCGACCAGGTAGAGTCCCTGGTATGGTTTATTAGAGGATGCATGTGGATTGCTTCTTGGAGCATTATGCTGCATGTTCACCACAGGTACTAAGAGATTGTAATAAACGCAGTGCAGTCTTTGGTCAGACAGGCTTTGTGTAAGCTCAGCTTTGTTCAACCCATACTGCAGACATGGACAGATTTGTTGCACCCAGCCTCAGTCAGCTTACAAAAACCCAGTCCTGGTTCTAATCTATTTCCTCAAAGCTCTAAATCCCTGCATTCCCAACAGCTCCTCCTGCCCTGCTATCTACCGCATGTCAGTACCCTGTTCCCACTCGCTGCACCTATCCTGCCTTTGGGGGGGGGCCCAAAAAACTAACCCTGTAAAGAAGTCCTCTGTAGCAACTGCTCCCTCTCCTCTCCTGTTCTCTTCCTCCAGGCTCTTCTCTGTCTCCAGCTGGCTCCATTTCGTTTGCAGACCTGCGTTTTACTTGCAGTGCTCCAGTAGTTTAAAACCATAAAAAGCGAAAATTCTTTCCAACCAATACCATCCTGCCAGTATCCAAACCGGTCACATGCCGTCTGAGAACATGCCTTCCGTGATTCAGCCTGGTGCCTTGGCACCCGCACTTCAGCCTGATGCCTGTACCCATGCTGGGGTCCAGTGCACTCCTTTGCTTTAAGAGGGGTGGCTCCCTCAGGTCCACCTGCCCTTGATCTATCCATTAAATGCATGTGCCTCTACTATGGGGACTCATAAATTTTAGAGTTAGGACCACAGATGATCAGGGTGCCGTGTCGTGGCTCTGTGGCTTACGTATGTATTTGCAAATGTGTGCTAACTAAACCCCTGTTATAAACGCATACTGTTAGACAGGTTAATTCGGTTGTTAGCAAGCTGGCTGGCAAGTTGTCCAAGAACATTGTTCTCTCCCCCTTTTTTTCACTATGTGATGCCTGTTTATGTGTCCTTGCTTCATAAGCCAGTTATAGACTTGGGCGGGGTGGCCACTTTTATGCATGATGCCTGTACCCAGCCTGATGCCTGTACCAGCCTGATGCCTGTCTTCAGCCTGATGCCTCTCTTCAGCTGATGCCTCTCTTCAGCCTGATGCCTCTCTTCAGCCTGATGCCACTCTTCAGCCTGATGCCACTCTTCAGCCTGATGCCACTCTTCAGCCTGATGCCACTCTTCAGCCTGATGCCACTCTTCAGCCTGATGCCTCTCCTCAGCCTGATGCCTCTCCTCAGCCTGATGCCTCTCCTCAGCCTGATGCCTCTCCTCAGCCTGATGCCTCCACTCAGCCTGATGCCTCTACCCAGCATGATGAACTGATCGCCAGCCTGATGATCCTATTAGGCCAGTTGACTCGATGCCCGCTGTTGATCCAGATGATCCGGTACCTGATCCGGTGCCCGCTGTCGTGCCAATTGACTCAGAGCCCGCTGTCGTACCTGGTGACTCGGTGCCCACTGCCTTGCCAGATGACGCGGTGCCCGCTGGCGAGCCAAATGACCTGATGCCTGGTGACCCAGTGCCCGCTGTCATACCTGGTGACCCGATGCCCGCTGTCGAGCCAGACGATCCAATGCCCTGGTGACCCGGTGCCCACTGCCTTGCCAGATGACGCGGTGCCCGCTGGCAAGCCAAATGACCTGATGCCTGGTGACCCAGTGCCCGCTGTCATACCTGATGACCCGATGCCCGCTGTCGTGCCAATTGACTCAGAGCCCGCTGTTGAGCCAAATGACCTGATGCCTGGTGACCCGATGCCCGCTGTCCAGCCAGACGATCCAATGTCTGACCCAGTGCCCGCGATCATACCAGTTGACTCGGAGCCCACTGCCTTGCCAGATGACGCGGTGCCCGCTGTCGAGCCAAATGACCTGATGCCTGGTGACCCGCTCCGCCCGGGGGGGGCCCGGCGCCGCGCCCCCCCCCCCGCCCCGGGCCCGGCGCCCGCCGCCCCCCCCCGGGGGCCCGGCGCCCCTCCGCCCGGTGGCCCGGTGCCTGCTGTGCCTCCGCCCGGTGGTCCGCTGCCTGCTGTGCTGTGCCTCCGCCCGGTGGTCCGCTGCCTGCTGTGCTGTGCCTCCGCCCGGTGGTCCGCTGCCTGCTGTGCTGTGCCTCTGCCCGGAGTCCAGCCCGATGTGCCTCTGCCCGGAGTCCAGCCCGATGTGCCTCTGCCCGGAGTCCAGCCCGATGTGCCTCTGCCCGGAGTCCAGCCCGATGTGCCTCTGCCCGGAGTCCAGCCCGATGTGCCTCTGCCCGGAGTCCAGCCCGATGTGCCTCTGCCCGGAGTCCAGCCCGATGTGCCTCTGCCCGGAGTCCAGCCCGATGTGCCTCTGCCCGGAGTCCAGCCCGATGTGCCTCTGCCCGGAGTCCAGCCCGATGTGCCTCTGCCCGATGTGCCAGTCTTTGATATCCCGCCAGTTACCAGACCCGGGCGGTGGAACATTTTGCCCAGCTAGGACTGTTTGGAGCGTCCTGAGGCCGCTCCTTGAGGGGGGGGGTACTGTCAGGAATGGACTGGCCAGCAATGGTGGGACTCACCTGCCTTATGAGCTGCAGTACCAGGGCTGGCCAGCGGGTGCTCCCAGCAATCAGAAACTCAACCTTGCAGCCAGTCAAACACCTGGAACTGATTATACTGGTGTATTTAAGGGATGGCCAGACCTGCAGACTCTGCCTTGGTGTGTGTTTCTCCTGGGCCCTGTATCCTGTTCCTGCTCCCTGTTCCTGTTCCTGTCTGATTCGTTGCTGACCCTGCTCTGATCCCTGGCTTTGTCTGACCATTCTCCTGCTCCTGATCCCTGGCTTGTCTGACCATTCTCCTCTGCCTGACCCTCTGTACCATGCTGCCCGCTACCTGCTGAACCTGGCTTGTGACCCCCCCGACCATTCTCCGCTTGCTCCCCCTGTACCTACCTGCCCGATTGATATTGACCCGGCCTGCCTGACGACGCTTGTATTGTATGTACTGTCATCTGTGGGTGGTTTGGTTTGGTTTGTTTGCACTGTGTTATGTTTTAGTATTGCGCTGCGTTTATGTTTGTATTGTTAGTGTTAATAAATTATATTGTTTGCAACATATCTGAAGCCTGCGTTTCCCTGCGTCAGTCACACACCTCTGGTCATACCCGGGAGCCCTGACAATGGTGCTCCAGTGAGCTCTGGGGGAGCAGAGCAGGGGCAGTGACTGGGACTGACTGATCAGCAGTCAGGGTGATTGCTCAACTCTCCATTTTAGAACCAGTGTGGGACAGTTGTATTGTCACACAAATGCTGTATTTTGGAGGAGGGTATGTACAGTATGTGTAGTCTGTCTAAATTGCGAGTACATCTAACAATACCATCTCCCCATTGCTCCTTCATCCAGAGTAGAGGCGACGCCCTATGATATGAAGTGTGTTACTGGTCAGATAACCAAGTGAAAGTAAAGGAAAAAAAAGCCTAAATAAAATGCAGAAATCACATTTAAAAATTAGTAGACTGCAATGTATTACATTTTTGTTTTAGGGTTTAGATGCAGTGCCTTGAAAAAGTATTCATACCCCTTGAAACTTTCCACATTTTGTCATGTTACAGCCAAAAACATAATTGTATTTTATGGGGATTTAATGTGATAGACCAACACAAAGTGGAACACAATTGTGAAGTGGAAGGAAAATTATACTTTTCAAAAATTTATTTGTAAAAAAATGTGAAAACCATTTATCATTTTCCTTCTACTTCACAATTATGTGCCACTTTGTGTTGGTATATCACATATAAATCCCCCAAAAAAAAAATTTACGTTTTTGGTTGTAATATGACAAAATGTGGAAAATTTCAAGGGGGGTAAAAATACTTTTTCAAGGCACTGTATGTTTTAAGTTGTTTCAAGCTGCTTTTACATTTCCATAGACTTGTATGGAGAGAACATGTGACATCAATAAAATCAATGTACCTAGGCCCTGGAGATGCCTTCAAACTTTACAGAATATTTACTTGATCCTAGCATTTATGACTCTTCTCGAGTCCATCAGTTGGGCTAGATTTTCTTAGCCAATTGCTATTGTTTGCCTTGAGACACACCAACCATGAGGATTGTCTGCAGATTACTCCCCTCACTTCTGAACAGAAACCTCAAGAATTATTAGTAAATAGAATGTATTATACTCTGCTTTTTAACTTAATATACCATAAATACAATAGAAAAAGTGGAAAAAATTAGCGTAGATGTCCTTTAACAGAGCTGTGGGATTCGACAGTTTCAAAAGTACATTAAACTTTTGTACTTTTTTGCTCAGTATACATATAGCCTTTTGTGTTTTGTACCTTTTTACCCTTTTCTTTTTTTTTTTTTTATGGTGTGTCATTTTTCTCAGGAAGAATTGAAAGCTATACAAAGCATTTCAGCGGCTTTGCATCTGGATGTTTTAACTTGAATGCCACATACAACTCCATCTTCAAACAATAATTCAATTATTTGCAGGCTCGATAAAAGCATATTTCTGGCTGTACAGGCTATTATTACAGATATGTAGAGAGTGCTTTCAGCGCCCGATGAAAAGAAAATGAAAAAAATTATTTTTATTAGATTTGCAAACTGAATCTCTCCCATGGTGGTTACTTCAAAAATGTGTTAATCTCCCTGGTTGAGTTGTTTCCCCCCAGTTACTGAAGATGAGAGCAGATTATATTGCTGTACCTATTAAAATGATGCCTTTGATGAAGGGGAATTTGGGAAAAATGCCTAATGTTTGGTGTTAATCATATTTTACAGTTAAGAAATCTAGTTTTAGAGACTGGAAGAATACGTTGTTGGTATTAGATCAACATTTTTTTGTATAATCTGTTTGTAACATATTTGAACATCACAATAAATATCTTTTGTAAAAAGAATATTTTCTTTGTCGTTTGTAGTACAGTTATATCAGATAATAGTACATTCAAATTGATATGGTATTATTGGCTAAGCATAGAGAAAATAGAGAGATGTTAGACAGAAACAAACACTCAAAATGACAAGTTGAACAAATAATAACTCGGAGCGGTGTTAGTGATATAAGGGTTACACAAGGTACGAAAATATGGAGTCTTCTTGTTATATGACTAAAGAGAGTTGGGCGAGAGGTTAGAGGAAGTATATGTTTGAGGTGGATGGGTGGTAATAGTGGGTGGCTAGGGTAAAATATGAACCAGCTCACGGTGGTATACATAGGGGTATAAGCAATGTAGTCAAAGGCAGTATGGAAGTATGGGGAGGTTAAGCAGACGTGGAGAACAGGGTGTGGAGCAATCCCCTACTCTCCACTATGGTCACAGCAATAACACAATACATCCTTTATCTAATGAGTGATAACAGGGTTCCTGAGAATTCCTGAAGACAGTCCAAGCTGCCCATGTAATTAGGCATCTTTTCATCTGTTCAGGACCTCCAGCAGTTATATGCCCTATATACATTATATAGTTCAACTATGTAACCCATTCACTCAAGGATGGTATTTGTGTGGTGCCACCAATGGTGAGGAATAGCTGTCCTAGTTGGTTTGAGGAAGTGGCAAATTACAATGATAGATTTTAAAGTGCCAAGTAGAAAAGACAGGAAGGTACTTCGGGGAATGTTTCGTATTTGTGAACCTAATACCCAATGGTATATAGAAAGAATATAGCTCCAGAACCACTTATTAGAAGGGCATGCCCACCAAAATGTGTGTCATGATACCCACATCTTCCTGGCACTGCCAGCATGCATCTGGGATGGAAAGATATAATATATGTAAAAATCTAGTCAGGTTTTTCTCCTGGACTTTGCTAGCAATACGGTAGACAAGCTCCATGGAAGAATAAAGCCATTTTCACAGCTATTGTGGTCAGTGGGTGTACCCATTTCTTTTGATTATGTCTCTGTATACTGAGGCAAGATGGGATGGGAGAGCCATTAGAGAAGAGCTGAGAGGCTACATGGGTAAGGAGGAATCTTGAAAAAAAAGATTGCCAAAGAAAGTTGGTTGGGAAATCAGTTTGTTCCCTTGAGGGAGTGACAGTAAGAAAGCATTAATGCTCCAACCATTCAGACATCATGAGCAAAGGTTGCATTTGGTAGTTCTTCCTTAGAGAGAATCTGTAAAAATCTGTGAATGGAAGATATGTTCCAATTGCCAAGTGCGCAACGGTGTATGACTGGGGGAGAAAGCAAGATTGTATAGAGGCATTATCAGTCCTAAATATCAAGAGATAGCAAGATTTTTATCCAGGTCATCCCAAGTCTTAATCAGGGACGGTGTGAGAGAGGGGAGAGGAACCCCTTCTTGCTGTAAAGTCTATCCATGGCAATGCTTTGATACCCAGGGGTGGTAAATGTTGTTCTATGGTCACATAAAGTTTGCATGATTGATTGTGGAACCAATCTAAAATGTTTGTTAGTACTGCTACATTTAGGGAGAGATATCTATCTTAAGGTAAGCCTGGAGCAACTAGTTCCCAAATTAATCTTTTACATAGTTACATAATTAGTCTGGCAGAAAAAAGACAAAAGTCCATACAGTTCAACCTTTAAAGAAAAAAAAGTTATAATCCTATATCCACAGTTGATCCAGAGGAAGGCAAAAAAAAAACAGCAAAGCATGATCCAATGTGCTCCTGCAGGGGAAAAAATTCCTTCCTGATCCCCCGAGAGGCAATCAGATATTCCCTGGATCAACTTTACCTATAAATGTTAGTATCCAGTTATATTCTGTGTATCTAAGAAAGAATCCAGGACTTTTTTAAAGCAATCCACTGAGCTGGCCAGAACCAAATCTTGAGGGAGCCTATTCCACATTTTCACAGCTGCTG